AAATTTCTTCTTTCTATCTGCCCTGGAGACCTGCTCTATAGCCTCCTGCAATGCCTTCTCTGCAGAACCAAGAGCATTGCAGCAGCCTGTATCTTGGAATGAACTCACAAGTCCCCCAAAGTGGGTTTGTGATAGACTAACTCAATTCAGCATTCCTAGATGTACTACTCCACAACTTGGCAGGAGGAGACAAGGGAAAGTACTATAGACATTTTCACATAAAACCTTTGTCAAAACCCAGGCTTTGAACCTGGTTGCCTGTGACTCACAAGATACCATCTCCAAAATAGCCAGAGCAAAATGGACTGGAGGTGTGGCTCAAGCAGTAGAGTGCCTGCTTTGTAAGCATGAAGTCGAGTTTAAACCCCAGTCCTACCAAGAAAAAAAAAAAAAAGACTCAACTTTCCATAATAGATGGTGACCACTGATTCAGATTATGCTCACTCAGGGCGACTAATTGGCCCAACTGAAGCTATTATTTTCATAACTAAAGTCTATTTTTATGCTGGGGCTGGCATCAGTAAGAAGCAACAGCATAAGAATTCCTAGTGCCAATTCAAAATACCTCTGCATGCAAACTCACCAGCATTTAGACCATAACATCCCCAAGAAAGAAATGGTGGGATGCCTCAGCACATTCCCAGATAGCTCTATTATCAGTTCAAAGTTGCTCCCCATTCCCAGTAAAGGCTGTGCTACCTTTCTATAGACGCACTTGGCTTTCTACTGCCCTTTCCTCATATCCCACACCTGTGCTTCAGGTGCTACTGAAAAGCTCTCTTGGCTAATCCAAGGCGGCCTGGTATTGAGCAGGAATAATCCCCTTCCATCTAGTCTCCCCCTTTACATTTTTGTACCATCAGGCCTAGAGAAGCAATGGCACTACTTTATATTTGCATAGAGGTTTGCAATTTGCAAACCACCCACACATCCATGATCTCATCTGAGCCTTGTAACAACCCAGTAAGGTAAACCAGCTCCCTTCCCCATTGAGGGATGCCTTTCTCATAGGACTGTTATGGGGCTAGCACACACTAAGTGCCAGTTACTTGTCATTTGCTATAATCTCAATGTTTGTGTGTCCCCCAAATTCAAGTTGAAATCCCACCAAGATGATAGGACATAGGGCCTACAGGAAGTTATTCAGTCACGAGGGCAAAATCCTCATAAATGGAATTATTATTGTCATAAAGAGGCAAGAATAAGCCAAACATAAGGCACACATCCTGTAGTCCCAGTGACTGGGAAGGCTGAGACAAGAGGATCACTTGAGCTCAGAACTTCAAGGTCATCCTGGGTAGCACAGTAAGACCCTGTCCAAAAAAAAAAAAAAAAGCCCTTCCACTATGTGACCACAATGGAAGAAGCCATCTCTGGCCAAGCACTGGTGGTTCACACCTATAAGCCTAACTACGTGGGGAGCTGAGGCTCATGGTTGAAGGACAGCCCAGGCAAATAGTTCACAAAACCCCATCTCTAAAATAATCAGAGCAAAATGGACTGGAGGTATGGCTCAAGTGGTAGAGTGCCTGCTTTGCAAGCATGAAAGCATGAAGTCCTGAGTTCAAACCCCAGTCCCACAAAAGAGAGAGGGAGAGAGAGAGAGAGAGACCATCTGTGAACCAGAAAGTGAGCAATCACCAGACACTATCAATACATTGATCTTGGACTTCCCAACCTCCAAACTGTTAGAAAGAAACTTTGTTGATTGTAAACCACCTAGTTTATGGTCTTTGTTTTAGCATCCTTAATGAACTAAGAGAACATTAAACACAGAGAATATTATGTTACCCATTTCATGAGTGACAAACTGAGACTTGGATTGGTCAACTAACTGTAGGCAACTAAGCCTCTAGGCCTGTAGAGTCGCTGGGAAGCCAGAAAGCCTAGTGCAGGATGCTTTCCAGCATCATGTCAACATAGAGCCTAACTGTTTACAATTACAACTCCACATTTCCATGTAGGCTTAGCCACACTGACAGGAAGTGAGTCTGTAGTTCCCGTACTGTTTCCATTCTTCACCCTCAGAGCATCAGTTCCCTAAGACCTTTGTGTCCCCTTCTCCATAATGAAGAAGACTCACTGGTTTTTTTTTTAACTTTTTTTTTTTTTGCCAAACAAATGTCAAGCTTTGAGACTAAAGGCCCTATTACAAGTACAAAGTATCATTTAATTGCACTACTGCACCAGCTCCAGCTATCTGCTGCCCAGCTCTTAACTCCCACTGGGCAGATTCTGAAACCACACAGGAGATTAAGTCAAGAGGGGGGAACAGGAGGGACATTCTCAACTTGAACTTTCTTAAATGGAAGACAGGAGAAAAAAAAAAAAAAAAGGAAAAGAAAGGCTCATTTTCCAAGGAGGGGGCTGGGACAATGGTCTTTGCATTAAGTAGACCTGCATAAGAATGTATAGATTATTTAATACTGGGGGTGGCTGTGGAGTGAAATAAAGGAATCTTTGTACAATGCCAGCCACAATTCCCTCACTCTTTCCCCACAGTCAGGCATTTCACCCAACTCTTTAAATCATCCAGCTCTAATGTACCCCATCTGTGCACCGGCTGTAGCCAATGAAATCAAAGTCTGTGCTGACTTTGGCCTGGATTTGTGAATGAGCCTTTCTGCCCCAAAAAGGGGCAGGAAGGAAGACATGAGGCCAACAATGTCTTTTTTTGCTCATTGCTTGTCTTCTCCAAAGCTAATGCTCCATCCATCCATTTGATTATTCACTGAGTTCTTGCCAAGAATCAGGTTCTAATCTAGACACTAAAGCTGATAGAACATGGCCTGAGGATGCAAAAGAGCTTTGAGAGGAGGGGAAAGAGGGATGCTCTTATCAGAGGCCTGAAATATCCCTACCTGCATATTCAGGAAATGTTTAGTTCTTAGTGGCTGAAACAAGTGAGGACACTGGCAGGAGTCCTAACTCAGATGATAGGCTGTGCCAGATTATCAAGGGACTGCACACCAGGCTAAATAGATCTGACATAAACTTTGAAGGCTATTACCAGTTCTACATATTCAACTCCCATCCATATTACAAGGCCCAGCTTCAAAAGAAAGAGAAAAAAAAAAAAAAACACTTCTAGAAATCCTTCCTGAACACCTGCACAAAGTAATAATTTTCTCTTCTCTGAACCTCCAATTTGAGATCCTGGACAACTTTTATGAGTCTCAGCTCCTCCACTGCTATAAAGTATGGCTAACCACCTACCTAAAGACTTCTGTGAGGGTTAAGTGGGATAGCATTTTATAAAGTGTCAAGTGGCAGTTTTGAGTGCACAGAGGATGTTAAAATTCATTTTATTAGTTCTTCCTGTGCTAAAATGCCTTGGCTTCCCCACTAGATACAGACACTTTCTTTGTAAATTTCGTTTAAAAAAAAGACAATTTACAACTCCCCTCCAAGTCTGGTAGGCCCAGTTCCAATGCCCAGAGAACTGGCTGCTCTCTTCTCTCGCTAATACAGCCTCCCACATCCAAACTTCTAGACAAGGGGCTACCCCAAAATTCAAAAGGAATCCGAGTCAAGATGAATTAGCTGATATAGAAGGAGGTTAAAGGGCCAAGAGCATGGCTCAAGTGGTAGAGGGCTTGCCTAGCAAGTGCAAGGCCCCATAATGCCCACAAGAGAGAGAGAGAGAGAGAGAGAGAGAGAGAGAGAGAAAGCTAAAAAGCTAAAGGCTAGCTGAAATATAAATAACAAAAAGGAGAATCATTTTCAGAAATGCAGAGAAAAGAAAGTGGGGCAGAATAAAAGTCCAGCCAAGACTTTGAGGATTCCAGGAATCAAGCTCGTGGTTATTATCCATCTTGGAGGGATTCTGTCCTCAGGCCTGATCTGAGAATCTCTACCACCACAAACTTGGCTGTTCGAGCAGCCTTCCTCACTTCCTATGTCAAACCAGTCAGTTAGACTGCAGTGCTCTATAACTGTTGATTCCTCTCTAACTGAGGTTATCAAACCAGAGGCAAAGAAAGCAAGGTTGCCTTTTCCAGAAGCAAAAATTACTGTAATTTTTTTAAACTGAGTTTGGGTCTGCCATGAAGTCAAGATGTGGGGAAAAATGCTCTTTTTTTTTTTTGTGGTACTGGGGTTTGAACTCAGGGCCTCACACTTGCTAGACAAGCGCTCTACCACTTGAGCCGCTCCACCAGCCCGGAAAAATGCTCTTTAAGGGAAAAGTTTCCCATGATCTCTTCTTTGTCATTCAGCCTAGTAAAACCTGTTTCTCCTCTCCTGGCAATCTAGGGCCAGGAAGAAGTAGCCTCCCGAGAATGCTGCCTGAAGGACCCAGTTCCTGGATTGCACAACTGGGATGTCAGGGTTTATTTATTAATAACCCCCAGCCCCAACTTTAGAAGCAGTTGCCAAGGTCCCTCAGGGAAAATAGGGTTCCATTTTTTTCTTCAATTATGAGCAAATGTCACTCCATATTACCTCATATTGATCCCTAATGCCAATGGATCAGGTCTTCAACAGGCCACTCATTTTAGTAATGCCACAGCCTCATAACTGTCCCTGGGGCTGGCCTAGGACTCTCTCATCATACCTAATAAATCCCATACAAGTTCTGGGTTTGATCCCCAGCACTGCAAAATAAAACAAAACCCTCTACAAGACCCTCTTCTCCTCACCTCTTTTAGAATTCACTTTCCAAGCAAAAAGCACTCTTCCTCAACCAACCTAAACCAAGCCAACCAACTTAGACTCTAGTCATTCTTGAGTCCCTCCTTTCTCTGGCCTGTAAGCTGCCAGCCCCCAAAGTTTCCATCAAAGATGACATCTAAATTCCAAAATAACAAACCACTACCTTGCCCCTGCAACTTGGAGTTATTTCTCAGTTGATGAGACAGTCACGTGGGTCACCCAGCCTCATACAAAAGACAGAGTACAAACATTCCAGCCTCTTTGAGAGCTTGTAAGCCTCTGCAACCTTAGGAGCAGTATGTGCCCTCCCCAGTCGCAGGCAAGAAAGGCCTGCAGGAAACATGTACCTTGGAAATGAGTTCATCATGATTGGCCAAGTGAGCTCTGCAGTGAATGCAGCTGTAGGTCCGGTGACAGGAGGGCAAATATGCCTGGAAAGTCTTAGATCTTGTCATCTTCACCATTGGTGCCGTTGAGTGTGGGGTGAACTCCGGGGCAGCCCACGAGGCACTCCCACAGGTTGGGTCGCACGGGAAACACCGAAAGACACAGGTAAAGGCCGTGGTTTAGCAGGGAGTGGGTGTGGGGCAGGCTCCACACACTGGTGATGTCTTCAGAGGAAGTACCCTCAAGCAGAGGTCTAGGGCTGGTTCTCAGCAGCCTGAAGTGCCAAGACAAGAGAAATATCATCAGCTGATGGAAAAAGACTTCTTATAAAGCAAGCAGAGTTCAGGGCCACCCAGAGAGGGCAACACTTGCAGGATAAAACGATCTCCTCTGTTCCTGGAAACATGCCCAAACTACCCAAAGAAAGAGAAAGAAATCATTCCAGTTTTGCTGCTTTGGTACAGTTGGAGAATTAGTATCAATCCAGTACATTCAGGAGTTACCCAGCTGCCCAAAAAACTGGCATCATCACCATCCTCAAGTAAAGGTTAGGATTGAAGGTGGGCTACCTATACCCCCCAAGGAGAGGACGTCTTAGGATCCCCCTTTCCTGAGCCAACCAAGGTGAGTGGTTAGAGGAATTCAGCCTCTACTGGTCCACTACATCCAACAGTCCTGTGTGGATTTCCCATCCATTTCCAGATGTGGAGAGTGCTCCAACACTTGAAGTCACCACCTGCAGAGACAGCAAACCCCACACCAGCCTCCACTTAGGGATTGGGCATGAGATACAAACGACCTGCTTCCCAATGAGCAGATCCCCTAAGGACTCTAAGGACTACCATTCTCCATTGGGAGAAGTGATTCCCTTTGCAATACCTTGCTCAGACGAAGGTACCTAGTACATTAAAAAAAAAAAAAAAGTGAATGAATTCGATCAATGGCACAATCAGACTCCTGCATCTGAAAATCACAATGACTGAATTTTACCAGAATGTCTCCAACCCTCAGGTTTCCCATTACTCCTCCTAGAATTCCAAACTACCCTCCTACCACAGCCTTAGTTCTTTTATTCAATTGGGAACCAAGGACACTGAGAAAGTGGGGTGGCTCTCAGGGAAAGCAAGTGAACAGGTGAATCCAAGTAAAGATCCGAGTCCAGATCCCCAGGGTGTTAGACTTGCTGCTTCTCTGTGGCTCACCTACCTAAAGCTCTAGCACCTGTCTACTCCCTGGACTTCGTTAATGACGGTAGTGTTCACACTTGCCTCCCTCCCAGAAGACAGTGAGGGTTAATTAACACCTTGGATCATGCTTTGAAGATAAAATTATTTAGAGAGACAGGGGAGGAAGACAAACAAAATCAGATCTTACTTGCTGGATTATGTCTGGGATCCATCTGGACATTTAAAAGACAATCCACAAATCACAGTCTTCTTTTCCCACTAAACCTCACTGGAACCAAATCTTCTGAAGGGAAGCTGCCTTCCTTCCTGGCATCCTTCCCACCACAGCAATCATGGAAGCCATCATCCTCCTGAGACTCTGTATGTCTTCCCAAATGGCCAACACCACTGGCTAGCACTAGCCTAGTGACAAGTGGTCACTACCTCTTATCCAACAGTGAGAACACAGCCCTTCTGCAGCCAAGTCAAGTCAGCTCCATATCCAATTTGGATCTCACATATATGTGTGATGTCTGACTGCTGAAGGGATTCAAACCTACAGGTGCCAGTCCACGAAGTCTTTCCTGCTAGGTCTCCCACCACCTTCTGGTTTGTTTATGATATTGATAATTGAACCCAGAGCCTTGTGTAGGCTAAGCAAGTGTTCTACCACCTGGGCTATGTCCCCAGCACTTTGGTTTTTTTATTTTGTTTTTGAGACGGTCTTACTACCTTTGCCCAGATTGACCTCAACTGGCAATTCTCCTACCTCTGCCTTCGAGTAGCTGAGATTATAGGCATTCCACCACTGTTCTTAAAGATGTGAAATCAGGTTACACCAAACAGTATTAAAAAATACTGAGAGGATTTGGAGGTGGGAAATAACTCCCTCAGCTTTGCCTCAGAGACAGGCCTGGCCATAACAGGATACAGGGAAGGAAGACACATGAACCCTTGGCTCCAGATCTTCCAGTGGATTGAGTATTCTCACACCCTGAAAATACTCTAAGTAGTGGGTGAGGCGAATAAACAAATCAGCCTACAATAAACCAATGTTGTTGAGTGCCAAAGGGTTATATGTGGTAGGAGTCAGGTACCCCCACCTTGGGGTTTCCTAAAACACCTTCAACCTTTCCAGTATTCCTGTTCCACTATTAGGAAGGACAGAATTTCCAGGAAGGGAAGGGTTGGTGAGGTAGGGTAAGGAAAAGGGAATCTGGGCAAGGGAAAGGGAGCATTAGCCTCCCCACTCCTCCCCTCAGACCAAATATTTCTGAAGTACATGGCTTTGACTGCCCAATGGGGATCATAAGCAGCACTGAACCCATCTGGTCTTACACAAACACCAAGGGAAGAAAGGGAAACAATGAGCCTGGCTGCCTCTCTGAGTTTACAGAGCAGATACAGAATCTGTTTTCTTATACATGCAGACAGCTTCTAAATTATGCATTTCCCTGGTGTAGAATTATTTCTTTTCTCACTTCTGTAGATAACCAAAAGTTCACAGGCAGAGGCCTCTGGTTATTCTCAGTTTCAAATCTGAATCCTCAAACTTATTTACAACTACCTTCTACAGAATATGCATTTCCAGTCTGTATTAAGTGTATGTCACAAACACATACCCATGCACACCCATTCATTCCTTACCGTGGCTCTGAATTTAAAAAGGCAAGAGAAAAATTCATCAGTGAGCCAGTGACCTAGGCTGTGTGATGCTGGAAAACCCTGGAAGGCCTGGACCACAGACATTACTAGAACTGACTGCGACAGACTCACTCTTCCACTTTGCTCTTTAATATGATTAGTTCACGGGCATCCTAAAGAGATAACTCCTTCCCTAAGAAGAAAAGGGGACTTCCTGAAAATGCATCTTGTTCAACTGGTCCAGTTCAAGCTAGAAGGAACAAGGAAGAAGAGGAAAGGAAGCAAGAGCAACACAAGGCCTGTATGGTTAAGAAGAAAGGAGAGAGCAGGCTGAGTGAGAGAGAAAGATGAGAGCCAGAGACTGAAAAATTGTCACCTAGTACCGTCTGCTTCCCTTTTATAGGAAAATTTAAAAAGGTGCTTCTTTAGGTGATTCTTAGGAAGGAAAATAAGTGTATTTTTTTAATGAGAGAATTAAGGGGAAAGGGTTGCAGAACTCACTACATTTTAATTTGGGGATTTGGTCTCTTTTAATGGAACCACAGGGTCCATGCTTCGTGACTCCAACTCCTAGAGCATTTTGTAGTCTAAATAGATTGCCAACAATAATCAAATGAGCTCAATATGTAAAAGCCTCAGGGCACATGTACAAATTAAACAGCATTTAAAGAGAACTAATAATCCATCACAGTAGAAACTAAGTGGAGATTTGCTACCATTCCTAGCTGGCTCATGCTGACCAGCATGGAAATAAAAAATGTGAAATAATTGTGACTAAAAACAAAGCTCCTAGACATACCACCTCGAGAGCCAAACACATAGCGAACACATGCCAATTTTGGCTGGCCCAAACAAAACCTTCTGAGTGTCATTAGGAAGGAAGGGTGGCAGGTACACATTCTTTACGTAAGCCATGAAGAACTTGAGGCATGGTCTAGAAGCCAGATCACCACCACACACAGAGCCACAGAAACTGACCTGCAGGAGGAACTGACTAGAGCGAGCAACTCCTCCAGATTCAGGACAGGTCGGTCCCCAAGGCGTGCCTCTGTAGTATTGTTTTCCTAGGTGTTTTGTCAGAGAGTAGGCGAAGGCTGGAATAGAAGTAGGCTCTAGAATCTCTGAAACCAGTTCTACTCCTTTCAAGCTAGGTGACTTTTGGCAAGTTCAACCACTCTGTTCCTGAGTTTCCCCATCTCTAATAACAAATAACATCAACCTACAGTGTGCTAAGTATCAAATAAGATGACCTAAGTGCATACACGGGGCTGGCATACAATATACACCAAAACTATACTTAGTAGTGGTCAGTGAAAACAAAACAGATTCTACTGCTTAAAAAAAGAAAAAAAGAGGCCTGAGAGTTCAAACAGATGAGGAGTTTGGGCTCCTTTTGAAAACATCTTTCCTCTTTCTCCTGTTCAAGTTGAACCCAATGCCTATTTATTGCCAGACTGGTCCTAGTGGCATGGGTGGCCTGCTTCTCTTAAGACCTTTTATTTGTTTATTCACTTATTTATTTACTTATTTATTCATGGATTTTTGAATTTACTTATTTATTCATGGTGCTACTATGTAGCCCAGGCTGGCGTCAAACTTTGATCTTAGGATCTTTTATTCTGTCTTGAAGCATGCTGAAGAGATGCTACCATTAAGACAACATCTCTCCAAATCTAGAATTCTCTTTTCAAGGCAAGACAGGAGATAATAACATTGGAAGACCCATAGATGTGTGTTGATTTAAGGTCCTTTTAAATTTTTTTAATTTATTCATTTGTTATTTTTCCTTATTATTTATTTAGTTATCTAATTTAATCATGTATTGCCATGCTGGCAATTGAACCCAGAGTCTTGTGCATATGAGGCAAGACTCTACCACTGGGCTACATCCTCAGCCCCAGTAAGGGCCTTCAAAGAGCTGGCTTCAGAAGACATCTTCAGTGTCTCTGCTATTATGCTAAGTGCCTCTCATATACACAGCCATGAGTATCCTGAGCCTCTTTCTCCCTCAAATCCACCCTCCCTCAAATCCAACAGTGGCTAAAATGCCACTTGACCATGTTATCACTCTTACAACTTCAGAAAACACAGACTTAACCATGTTATCACTCTTACAACTTCAGAAAAGCAAAACAAGAGAGTGGCTAAGAAGTCAAAACCTGGAAGCAGTTTCGAATCTCAGCTCCATCATTTACTAGCTCCATGACCTTGCACAAATTAATCTCTCTGAACCTCAATAATATCTACTGCACAGGGCTCTGGTGAAGATTAACTAAGTTAACAGAATCAAAGCACTCATGTACATGCCTGGCATGCAGTAACTAACTATTCAATAAATTCCTAGTGTGTATTACCACCTTCAACCAAGAAGGCTTCAGACTCAATTCATACGCTTATACTTTGTACTTCATTTACTGAGCTGACTTTTAAGAGTCTACTATGTGTTAAGAAACCTCTTTTAAAG